TGGCCCAGGGACTGTTTCTCAAAATGGTGCTTACATTTCACAAAGGCAGTCAAATTACAAACAGAAGGAGAAGGAAGAAGGGGAACAGAATAAAGGTTTAAGAAGAAAGAGAAGGGAAGTTTTTTTTTTTTTAAATGGGAGAAGAAATCTGGGTATCAATGGCTCACCCCTGTAATCCTATCTATTCAGAAGAATGAGATCTGAGGATCACAGTTAGAAGCCAAAAAAGTCCATGAGACTCTTACGTCCAACTAGCCCGCAGAAAGCTGGAAGTGGAGGTGTGGTTCAAGTGGTAGAGCACCAGCCTTGAGCAAAAGTAGCTGAGATCCTAAGGCTCTGAACTCAAGCTCAAGTACCAAAACATACACACAAAAAAAATCATGCCAAAGAAACAATACATATTATTTATAGCCATATCATCTGTAATAAAGATTTAAACACATATGTAGGAATGATAAATATCAAATAGATACAGAGGTTATACCCTTTGGAGAACAGAGAGTAGAGTGGAAATTGAGTGAGCAATACAGAAAGTTTCTATTATATTTGTTATGTTTTATTTCCATTTTTTAAAAAAACATAAGAAAGTACTGCCAAAAGGTTAGCATTTCAAAAGTCAGTCATCCATCTTCATACTTTTCTGAGTGGTTGCAATATTCCTTAAAAAGCCTCACCCTGCCTTTGCAAAAAAAAAAAAAAAAAAAGGAAAGAAATAAGAAACTCTCCTGAAAATATTTTATTATTGAGGATAAAAAGAAGTAGTATCTTAAACCTACTATTTGTCTTCTAATCCTACTTTACCCTTATATAAATCCTTTATAATGTCAAGGAACATGTGGGAGGAGGAGGAATATATATATATATATAGTGGGGTACAATGAACTTACTATTTTGCCAAATATGGCATATCATTTTATTTAAATAAAATGGGAATTTATGTTCCTCTTTGTAAGACCAGATGCTGGTGCCTCATGCCTGTAATCCTAGCTACTCAGGAAGGAGGCTGGGATCTGAGGATTGAGGTTTGAAGCCAGCCCAGGGCTGATAAATCCATGAGACTCTTATCTCCAATCAACCAGCAAAAGCCAGACATGAAGCTGTGTCTCATGTGGTAAAGCACCAGCACTCAGACACATGCATGCACACACACACACATCCATACTCAAGTATGTTTCCAAAAGTACCAGGATAAAGGAAGGCAAAAGAGACTTCTGATTTTAAACCTTGTTTTCACACCTCTAAGAAAGGGACAAGGGGATCCAGGCTTTTGTTGGTGCACTGTGAACCAAGATTCATATGGTCAGTTCCTCTGGCCTTTATTCAGAAACACATTCCCCTAGGGTCCTCTTTTATTTATTATCATTGATTTCAGTTTCCTGGGCAACAAAACAAAACTCTGATCAGAGAGCAAGTCCTCATCCCAAAACTGCAGATTCCATTCTGCTCCCTTGACTTCCCCTGGCCCGCTCTGGACCTCTTGCAATTCCACGTCTGACGCTTTAAACTGTCCTCGCTTTCCTGGCCTCGGCAGAGAGCCAGTGCTGAAGGCTGTGTATCCCCCTCTACTTCCCATCTGCAGGGCGATTAGGTTGCAGGGAAAGCAACAAGGGAAGATGCGGGGACCTGGGCCTCAGAGACATCTCTGGGTCTCACGCCTAATCTGCACTTAGGCGCTCTGGAAATAAAAGACCATTGACTTTGGCACTCAGATGAAAACCTATGCCAAATACACACACAGGGGTACTCTCTCTCACACACGTGTATGCATGTACACACATACACACACACACACATACACACACACCTTTCAGAAGCAAGGAGCTGGAAAATTCCCCACATATGGCAAACATATTTTCAAGGAAGCACCATGTCTACAGACCAGTGGGAGAGAAAGAAAAAGAAAATAATAAGGAAAAAAAAACACTTCCATTGCTCCAAACCGCCGAGAAAGAATGTAAAAGATTGGAGATGAAAATTATTGGTAAAAATCAGTGTCAGGAGATAGCTAAATTCTTTTTCCCTACTTCAACTCATTCCTAGGAGTTGGTTTTTTTTTTTTTCCTGATGTACAATGATAACTCATGGGAAAACTATCTTCATACTTTAGCAGAAGGACATATTTATAAAAAGAATAGTTTTCTCTAGCTGACAATTTCAAAAATTCTTAATTTTACTTCTTTTGCTGTCTGTTTGGTTTTTGTTTGTTTTTGTGCTGGTACTGTAGTTGGGTCCTCACATTCCACTTGGCTTTCTTTCTCACAGCTGGAGCTCTACCATTTCAGCTACATGTCCACTTGTGGGATTTTGGTGGTTAATTAGAGATAATCTCTCTGACTTTTTCCTCTCAGGATGGCTTCAAACCAAGATCCTCAGATCTCAGCCTCCTGAGTAGTTAGGATGAGAGTCCTGAGCCGGGCGAAATGATCTGTCCTGTAAGTTAATAATAGATTTATCAAACTTTGTCAAAATAAAACTAGAAGATGTTTCTCAGCAAAGAGGCAAAGAGTAATTGGTAAGAGCAAATCAAATCATGTGATCATAAAAAAAAATTAATGCTGAGTCTCAAGAGTTTCACCAAATAGTGAAAGAAACACTGGCCTGAGCCCTCCAGGGCCTCATAGTTGAGGCTTTCCAAGGCCTAAGCTAAACTGAGGTTGGACTTTTTACCAGAGGGCAAAAACCAGGTGCTGATGTAGATTTCATCTAAGAGGACTGTGATGGGGAAAGGCACCTGAGCCACCACCCTGTGAAAGGAGGAATGGAGTGAATGGTAACAGGATGGTCCAGGCAAGAGAGAATGAGGGCACTGAGCATGCTCCAGCTCCCATTGCCCTGAGGCAGCAGCTCTTGAGCCAACAGCATGAGAAGGGTGAGCAGGTAGGAGGAGAATTAAGTCTCTTACCCCAAAGGCAGCAAAAGTGGTGCTGGGGGGTAGGATGGAGTGAATGAACAGATGGACAGATGGCTTTTCACCTATCCTAAGTAGCTAAAATTATAGGTATGGGCCATTAGTACCCAGCTTGAAGATATGTGTGTGTGTGTGTGTGTGTGTGTGTGTGTGTGTGTGTGTGTGTGTGTGTGTGTGTGTGTGTGTTGTTCTTTTTTCTTTGTGGCATTGAGGCCTTACACATACTCATAAATACTCCACCACTGAACTACACTTCCAGCTCAATTGTATATTTTTGTTTGTTTATTTGTGTGCTTTTGTGCCAGCACTGGGTCTTGAACTCAAGGTCTGGGCACTATTCCTCCCTTAGCTTTTCACTCAAAGCTGGTGCTCTACCAGCTTTACTTCCTGCTTTTTGCTGTTTAATTGGAGATAAAAGTCTTAGGGACTTTCTTGCCCAAGCTGGCTTCAATCTCAGCCTCCTAGGTAGCTAAAATTACAGGCGTAGCTACCAGTGCCAGCCTACTATATATGTTTTGATTCTGTGTGAATCATTATGTTAAGTTCTGTAGGTATCAAAACATTTATTAATATCATCATGAAAGTTTATGACCAAAGAAACATCATTAATTGGTTGGATTTTTGCTGTAGGTTAAAGCATACAACAAAGGCATGGCCATGTCAGAATTTTTATCTTCTTTGCCTTGTCTCTGTGCCAGGCTATCTGCTAATCAAGGAATAGACCAATGTATCCATAGTGAAGCTAAGACTCAACTATCCTGGCTTTGTTCTGAGCCTTTCTTGGCTTGGAAATATGACACTGGGATTTTGTCTTCCAATTTCCCATCTTGTTTTATCAAGTCTTCTCAAAAGCTATTATATAAAGAATGAACAATGGGAATTATTCGGTAGGCCTTCCAAATGCAGGAGCCAAGAAAGCAACAATGGAATTACACAAAACCACTGGTAAGAAAATGTGATCCTTGCTCTCTGGGAGATGACTCAATAGTACGAACTCGTCTGTTCGCATGTAATCCAGCAGAGAAAAACAAGTCCCAGGCCAGAATTATTGATGAGATATGACTTTTTTGGTAAATGAGAGACTACAAATCTACCTCATGGGAGAGAAGTTGAAAAATAGGATTGAAATATAGGGACACTTAAGGATAAGAATATAGGCAAAACAGCTGGGCGCCAGTGGCTCACACCTGTAACCCTAGCTACACAGGAGGCTGAAATCTGAGGATCACAGTTCAAAGCCAGCCTGGACAGGAACGTCTGTGAGACTCTTATCTCCAATTAACCCCCAAAAGGCTAGAAGGGGAGCTGTGGCTTAAGTGGCAGAGTGCTAGCCCCAGGACACATGGACACACACACACACACACACACACACACACACACACACACACACATACACACACACACACACACACACACACACACAGAATAAAGGCAAAACATTAAACTAAAGCAGTTGTATTTGACCAAGTCATTCTTGGAAAAAAAAAAAAAATATATATATATATATATATAATATCACCAGCGGAGCTTTAGGAACTATTAAAATCTTTGCCCAAATACTCTGAAAATAAAAGTATTCTCAGTTGTAATCTAGACCTAGTGATACCAACATAGCACCCCATGATTTCATCATAGATTTTGAGTTTATAATTTGTTATACAGGAAGTGGAACTGTGACTTAAGTAGGGGAGCACTAGCCCTGACCAAAAGAAACTCAGGGACAAGTGCCTAAGCCCCGAGTTCAAGCCCCAGGGCTGGCACAAAACTAACAAACAAACAAAAATATCAAATAGTTATTTGTACATAGTGGTTTCAATTCGGCATGTCAGGTTATGAATACAGTGCATCTTAATCCACGTGGCCTCTTCAATTGTTCTCCCCCTCCCTCCCAACCCTGGTTCCATTTTCACACCCCTACCCTTCCTCCCTCCATTCCTCTGTCCCCTCCCTTCCCCTTGACCTTCCTCCTGCCCAACACGCGTTTCAGCTCCTCAGCATTCGTTTTGTTCAACGACCAGCTAGTTTGTTCAAAGGAGTCACACATTCTCTGAATTACGGGAAAAGAACAGTGGTTGTAATGGGAGAATCTGACCTGAGACTGCTGGAAAAGAATGCTTTTCTCAGGGTTGATGCCACAGGCAAGAAGGGCTGCGGTCATGTCCAGGACACTCTGCCGGAGGACGACAGGGTCCTGGGGGACGGTGATGGAGTGCAGGTCGACGATGCTGTACAACACCGATTCATACTGGTCCTGTAGCTTCACCCAGCTTTCAATAGCACCCAGGTAATTTCCCAGGTGAGGAATTCCTGTCGGCTGAATGCCCGAAAAGACTCGCTTTACGCTGTCATTCTGGAAGGAAGAAAAACAAACATGTCGGTCTTTGAGGCAGGGCCCATGATTCTCCTCTCCCGTGGAGCTCTCTAGAGTAGCTAGTTCTATTCCTGTAAACTGTACTCTTTTAGCCAGCCATCATCACACACGTTTGTTTTGTGCTTACTCTGTGCCAAGCCAGGCGCTGTGCCCGGGCCTGACACGTGTTACCCGATTTTATCCTCACAAAACCCACTATGGGAGGCACACTCCGCATCTCCTCGGTCTTAATCCATTATTTCTCATGGTCACACAGCCAGGCCATGGTGGGGGATTTGAACTCGAGTAGCAGGGTGCTTGCCTGGTTAAGCTCAGGGCAGTGAGTTCAAACCCCAGGATCGCCAAAACAAACAACGAGATGAAGTTGAGAGGAGAAGAGCAGGTGATCAGGGTACAGAGTAGGGAGAGAACAAGATGGGGAAGAATTCATCAACAGGTGTTATGTCATCATCTCATAGCCACCTTCTGGTGTGTTTCTGCACACTGGGTGACTATTGAGAATAAGAAGGTGCACCTCAAAAAGCTGTAACAAAAGGAGTGTGATGGGGGCTGGGAAGGTGGCTCAGTGGTAGAGCGCTTGCCTTGCATGCATGAGGCCCTGGGTTCCATTCCTCAGCACCACATAAGCAGAAAAAGCCGGAAGTGGCGCTGTGGCTCAAGTGGTAGAGCACTAGCCTTGAGCTGAAGTGCTGAGGGACAGCACCCAGGCCCAGAGTTCAGGCCCCACAACTGACCAAAAAAAAAAAAAAGTGTGATGGCCTTCACATGAGGAAATGGATAAATGCTTGAGGAGACTGACATGCTCTATCCACTTGGAGGGTTTTTTTTTTTTTTTTGCTGGTTAATTGGAAATCACAGTCTCTGAGATTTCTCTGTCCTGACTTTGCAATTGGTAAGAGCAAATCAAATCATGAGATCATAAAAAAATTAAGGGTAAGCAGTTACAATAGCTTTACAGAACGGTGAAAGAAATCTCCATCCTCACAGCTCAGCTAAGGTTTGGATTTTTTGCATACAGAATGAAGCAGGCGTTCACTTTCCCTACATGATATCTGAGGACTGCTTCCTTCTGTTGCTCTGACGTGCTGTCTCTGCGCTCACAGAACCCGGCGAGAAGAAGCTGGAAAGAATCTTATCTGTTGTTGTTGTTGTTCGGTCTGAGACTGGGACTTGAACTTGGTGCCCCATGCATTTGCTCACTGTCTTAGCACTCTACCAACAGAGACATGCATCCAACCCCTAAAAGGTTGGTTATTTCTTTTTTCTTTCTTCCTTTTTTTTTTTAAGGTCTGAGACTAGGACTCAAACTTGGAAAGTGTATTATAATTTGCTTTAATTTGTGTGTGTGTGTGTGTGTGTGTGTGTGTGTGTGTGTGTGTGAGTTCAAGCTCCAGAGCTTGAACTCAGGGCCTGAGTATATACTATATCTGAACTTCTAAGATCAAAGCCAGCATACTAGCACTTGCACCACAGCACCACTTCCTGGTCTTTTCCTATTAGCCCAATTGTGTATGTATCCTTACCTGTGCTAGTGTCACATTGTTTTGTAAATGAACGTCAGGACCAGACAGATCAAGTCAATCCATCTTTATGTGTGTGCTGGTGCTGGTGCTTGAGCTCAGGCCTCCCACAGGCACTTTGCCTTTTCACTGAAGACTGGCACTCTGCCATGGATCCACACTCCACTTCTGGTTTTTTGCTGGCTAATTGGGCATAACTGTCTCTTGGATTTGTTTGTCCAGGCTGGCTTCATAATCCTCAGATCTCAGCCTCCTGAGTAGCTAGGATTACAGGAGTACCCGGCAGATCTTTTTTTTTTTTTTCTTTTAAAAGTATCTTACCCAACAAGGAAACCTGTGGTGGGCAATATTTCTTATAAGTTATGGCACGGGGAGTATGAGGGAGGGGGGGGAACTGACTGAAATATAAACAATGAAATTATTCCCCCCCCCCCATATAATGTGTATAAACCAATATGAAAAAAAGAAAAGTATAAGAACAATTAAAAAAACAGTATCTTACTCATCCTGGTCTTTCATATTTCTCAATACATTTTAGAATTACCTAGTCAAGTCTCAAGGGTAGGGGTCTTATCATTGTAAATAACATAAGTGTCTATCATATTGGACTGTCTCTTCCAGGAAACCATACCGCATATTAAGGCTTTAGTCCTTTTATCTGACACTGGGGTCTACTAACCTACTTTAAACAAGTGAGTGTCAGGGCTACTTAAATGTTTTTCTAAATTCTACAAATACTACAAACAACAGCTTATTTCTTTTCTCTACTCCTAAGATAACAGGTCTAAAGTAGAATACCACATCCTAGTTCTAAGGGTACTAATTGAACTGGATCCAAGTCCTCAGGAAGAAATCCAAAAGACTTATAGCTCTGAGGGTATGAAAAATACCACTCAAGTATCTGAGAACAGCTGGGCGCCAGTGGCTCACACCTGTAATCCTAGCTACTCAAGAGGCTGAGATTTCAAGGACTGTGGTTCAAAGCCAGGCCAGACAGGAAAGTCTGTGACATTCTTATCTCCAAGAAACTACCCAAAAAGCCAGAAGTAAAGCTGTGGATCAAGTGGTAGAAAGCTAGCCTTGAGCCAAAGAAGCTGAGGGTCAGCACCCATTCCCTAAGTTCAAGTCCCAGGACCGGAACAAAAAACCCAAGAAAGAGTAACTGACAACAAACATAATCTAACCACACAGACATACACATGCACACGTGTGTGCACATACATACACACTCATACTCAGCCTTTAACTCTTCATAGTTTAGAAGTAATGTTTTAAAATAGTTTCCATTTGAAGTTTGGAGAAAAACAGAGTAAGAGAAAGAACCAAAGAGAGAGAGCCAGAGAATGAGTACATCCTACTTTAGTAAGGTTTCCTCTAGTACTGATTTACACCAACCCTGGATTCCTGATATGGGAATAAGCAAAATAATTTTCAGTACAGTAGAAAATGATTAATGGCTTTTAGGGCTGATTGATGAAGAGAGAAAGCAAAGCAGAAAAACAAACTCAACTTAATAAATGGAAAGGAAGGAAAAAAATCCATCTAGAAATACCTGCTCTAGAAAGATGAGAGGATATTTCTGGTAATGTAAAGGATTATGAAGACCAAGAAAACTGAGCTGAAAAAAAGAAAAAAAAGAATAGGAATATGCCTACATAAATTCCCCTATGGTCACACAAAGAAGTTATTCCCCAGGAGAAATGGAGAAAACAAATTCTTGAGAAAACTAGGAGAGAAACACACCAGAGGAGAGACTGTGGGAAGAAAAGGCCTGTGAGCGGCATGAGAGGGCTGGGCATGATCTAATAAATCTCCATTCCCCAGTTCCTGAGTTTCTGTCCATCCATGCAGAGGGAAGTGCAGCATCAAGAAATACCCCAACAAGACATGTTTTGTTCACTTTGCAGGAGCTAGTTAAGAAAAAAAAAATACAGCCTCAAAACTAGGACCCGGATCCCTGGTCTTAAAAATATACAGAGAGCAACCCGCTTCACGGCAGTGAATTTATGTTCCTGTCTGTATTCTCTCGCAAGAGTTGGCGGGTGGCCTCTCGGCATGGCAGGGGAGACACGCCTGGTACCATGAGATCATGGGGCTGGAATGTGGACTTTGGGTGGTGGGAGGATGGGGGTCCTGAGTTCAAAAGCACCAGAGATGGTGAAAAATGAAAATGAAAAAAAGCCCAACGTCCCAATGGACAGGAGGCCAACCACAAAGCAAATAGCTTTGAGACTCACCACAGGCATGGACCAGGGGAGGGAGTGCTTGCTTATAATGCCCAGGGGCAGACAGGCGGGGGGGGGGGGGGGGGGGGGGGGTGACAGGGAGGGGGGACAGCGAGTGTCAACAGGTCTTTGTATCAGGGGCACATTTCCCTAACAAACGCCATGTCCAACCAATGCACAGACTGGCTCATTTGAGAACCAGCTCTGCCCGTGGGTGGTTTGAGACCTGAGACTCAATAAATTCCAAGAGAGGATGAGTGTTCGAATCCATTAACTTACCAATTTCACCAACACAGTGGAAACTCTACCTGGGTAAGGGACATTATCTAAAAAAAACTTTTTGTTCTTGTTCTTTATGTGCCAGTACTAGGGCTTGAACTCGGAGCCAGGGGCTGTCCCTTAGCCTTTTTTGCTCAAAGCTAGCATTCTGTCACTTGAGTCACAGTGCCACCTCCAGCTTTTTGGTAGACAAGTGGAGGTAAGAGTTTCAAGGGCTTTCCTGCCTGGGCTGGCTTTGAACCTTTGATCCTCAGATCTCAGCCTCCTGAGTAGCTAGGATAACAGGCGTAAGCCACCAGCATCCAGTTTAAAAAGAACAAAAAACACTACAGTCAAAAGTGAACCAAAAACATGGCTGACAACCACCATGTCTTCTTGGTTCCAAGAATGGTATTTTATCCCAAACTGCAATCAAGAAAGTAAGCAATAAAGTTATTGCTTAAAATAGACATCTCCACAGGTCCCTTTACTTTTTTAAATTGTACATAAAATAAATTTACCATATCAAAATCATCACTGCTTAGCTCTTTACCAGTAATTCTCACACAGGCCAAGCCTCAGGTACCTGAAATACATCTTCAGCATTTTATTGAAAATACCTGTATTACCAATTCAGGATTGAAGAGCTGGAACTAGGAGGATCAGTGCAGGAAAACAGCATGTTAATCCTGGTGGGAGGAGATGCTCCCTGGAATACCCTGGTCACGGCTCAGCCTTGTTCTGTCCCCCTGAAAGTATGCAGACAGCCATGGTCTGCTAAGAAATGTTCCTGAGCACCAAGAAAAGTGGGCTCATGACTGCTTGGATAGAAACAGACGCTCGGGCCTGGGAATCGAAACAGTGAGTACTGATTGACTAAGAGGGAAAGTAGGTCTTCTATCACTCCTGAATGAGGAACAATATGCGGGTCAGAACTGTTTTTAATTGCTTGCAAAAAGGAAGAAAAATAAGACAC